AAAGAAGAGGCATGAACGCAATGTTTTTGAGTAGTAGAACGGGAATTACGTAAGCGTATTTCTTTTTTTTTAGCGAACATTAGATGGCGCTAGACCTCATACCCGATACGCAACAGATAAGTGCAAGAAGTACTTGGATTAGATCAGTCTGCATCGTTGGAAAGAAAGGTCTCTCTGTATATTACACATGGAGAATTAACCAAGGCCTATTCATAATCAGGTATACTTTGGGTTTGTAAGTTTTGTTTTGATGCAGCTATGTAAATCATTGTCAGATTGTAATTTTGTTTTCACTTCAGACATATCAATGCAACATGCTTGCACCTCGCTTCTTCTTTATGAATATTAAAAATTACCTTTTTAGTTCAATCTTCGGTTGCTGGTATATAGTTAATATCAATGGGAATAGGATTTTAAATTTACTAAAAAACATTGAAGATAGTTTGAAATATATTTAAGACAGACTAATTTATCTTTTCATATCTATCTATCTATCTATGTCCGATAGCTTGCGGGCCATTGGGGCGACCATGAAATGGACCTTGAGACAGAGGCTCTTCATTAGTCGTTCTATATGGCTGTGAAACATGGATACTGACTGCAGAGATGGAAAAGAAAATCAACTGTTTTGAGATGAATTGTATGAGAAGGCTTTTGCATAACCAGTAAACACTTCACATACATCCACCAAGAAAGTGAGGGAGATAATGGAGCTATAGATGGTAATATGATCACCTCAACACAGTTGTAAAAAGAAGACAACTAGACAGCTACATTGGTTTGACCATGTTAAACTAGATGGAAGAATAGCTTGGGAAAACGCCATCTCGCAAGGAGGAGGAACTTAACTTTTCATACAGTAAGGTTGATAAAGTTATAGACTACAGCACAGTGCACATTATCATCTGATCACTCCACTGATCTATGTTTAATATGAAGAAGATAATTATATGTCTATTCATTCTTCTTGTTTATCAAAGTATAGGATATAGACCCTCAAATTCACAAGTATGTCCTGTAATAAAAACAGTCCATACTCGTACGATCCAACTTCCGGTATATATTTAATACCCGACTTCAAAAGTAATGATAACCAAACACAAAGAAACACACATCCGACGCTTTTATTTGTACTGAAACAACACTGAATTTCACATTTATTTATACACACCTCCCAAAGACAATGACAATGAGAGAAATAACATAGGTGCACATGAGTACAAGGTTAAAAAGCTCCTAAGAGATAGAAAACCTGAGAGAAAATACATTCCACATCGACACTAAAAATACTGAGACATTCAGAAACAGACATTGTTTACATATAGAGTTAACCATGGATTGAAAAGATGATGCAATACAATAATTTTCTTAACGCTAAAAACGATTTACAGTAACTCTTGATTTGATTTCAAATGTTTATATTCTTGTCTGAATACAACCATTGTACACTGTCATGTAAACTCTTACTCTATGATTCATTTCTGTTCTATTTTTAATAGATTTAAGCATAATGTCTAAAATCTGGGGTTTGAAACTTTTAACAATGTAATTTTGATAAAGAGTAGAATATCCACTTGAAACATTTATCAAATAAATAATGCAACAAGGAAGAGGTTTCCAGATTATAACCTTTTTTGGTTATCTACTACTGTTCAATTGAACCCTTTGGAGTAAAGGCGTATTGTAGTTATCGGTACACACTATTGTTAGGAAAATATAGTGTTGATGATGACCATCGAAAATATATTCTTCAAATGGTTTTTAACTAATTTCATGTTTTAATGTACAACAAGAGATGAGTACATATGCAGAAGTGTATGGTATTATATTTCATGAAAAGAAAATTTGATATTCCAATAGAGCTACAGAAGATATGTACAGAGGAATATGCATAATGTACAGCACACCACATGAGGTATGTTAAATGTACAGCACACGGCATCATGTATAAAGCATACAGTTTCTTAAAAATTCATAAATACGCAATACACATTGTTGAATATGTTTATGAAATATATGTTTTGTAATGGGTTATGTCACAGTATCTTTCACAGCATTTGCTGAGGTGATTCAGAACTGTACTTCTTCCAACTTTTTAAAGTACAATACAATATTAAACCAACAGTTATCATGTTGCAAACATATGAGGTAAATGAATCAACATAAATGTTGTGATAAAACAAACAAATTAGTGTACATTTACTGTATGCAAATAGATTAAAGTTAGAAATCTTACAAAAATTAGTTGCAGCTAAAATATTAAAAATACCCTTGGCAATCATTGTGACCTTGATGGCTTACTATGGCAATAATATTTAAGATCATATGCTTCTATACACCATGAATATAACCATTTTGTAAAATTCCTGTGAATTTCATGTCGATGTAGATTATTGGTCCTAAAACTGTAAGTGTAGCTTCCATGATGTCAAGATTAAGATTATGCCCTCTTTTGGGCGTTTCCTTCTACCTTTCTCCTATACTTCTCAGCTATTTCAGTATTATTCACCTCCATTAGTATCTTAACTTCTTAATCAAAGGGAATATATACAGTACATATATAGATAGTGTTATAACTAGATGCGCTAACTCAGTTGAAAAAGGATTTAATGTATTATGAAGAACACAGCATTGTAACCTGAAAACTGAGCTTAGTCTTACTCAAGTGGCACTTTAAGACATCAGAATATTAAAAGTGATGATTTGAAACTTATAGCATTAAGTATACTTTTTTTCTCTCCAGATCTTTTAAATGAGGTAAAAGGTACATATGCAGAGTGATAGTAAATTTCAATTGTATAGATGTTAGCTTCATGCGTGATTAGAACATTGGTTTGAATCTTTTGCATGACGAAAGTGTCTGAATATATTAAGCAAATCAAGATCAAACAATCACTTACAAGCAGGTGAAAGTATTTGCTTTAACAAAATGTCCAATGAATTAAAAGGAGGTTGCAACTTACAGGCAATTGTTTTTGAAGCTCTGCAGAGAGAAGGAAAGGCTTAAACATATATCAAGTTAAAACCCTTCTGGGTCTCAACAGACAGTATAGACAAAATAATTGGAACCATATGAGAGAAAGAGGAAAAGAAAGGGAGAGATAGAACAGAAAAGTCAAACGTGACAAGATACATGAACAATTAGAGACGACATCTATTTACAGGGGGAGAAAGGGAGAGATAGAGAGATATATATATGTATAGAGAGAGAGAGAGAGAGAGAGAGAGAGAAAGACAGAGACAGAGAGAGAATGGAGAGAAAACACCTCCTGGCTATGAATGACATCCACTATTACTATGTGTTTGTTATAACGACCACACTGCCCTAACCATATTGATTATCTGCACTGATGTGTAATTACTACTACTACTACTACTACTAATTTCACATTATCTAATAAATACACGAGACATGTTTTCAAACACTATGGGTCATTATTAACAGAGGCACCAAGAAATAGATACGATTATATATTACAAACGGTCTATGATTAAAAAGTGCCAGCTTTCCTCTCTTTCTCAATGCATGGCTTGCACCAGGTTTCAAACAGACGCTTAAAAGTCAGATATACAAAATAAAAGCATGCCTCCACGTAGGCTTTCAAAATGTACAAGTAATATGAATACAATAGTCTGAACAATTTAAATAACAGGACAATAAACTTGATTCAGGAAAGAAAAAAAAAAGTTTTTGTGTTCCTGCTTGAAACCTTAACATATCACTACTAATATAAATGTATTCAGCAATCGCAACTTAACCTACTTCAAACTAGATGGAACTTCGACTGCGCGCAGTCGAAAATGATGCCTCCGTCATAGAGCAATTTTACAAACCAAAACAGAAGAAATTTTTCAAATTCAAGTTCAATTGTAATCCATTAACAGGTTTTCAGAATATTGTGATTACAAGCTATTTTTGCATACATAATGAGCCCATGACCTTTGACCTTATGAACCAAGAATCTACTCAGTTCATTGGCTCTGCAAGAAACATACATGACCTAAGTTGGCAGGAATCCATCAATCGGTTCTTGAGATAACGCGATCACGAGCTGTTTTTGCATACATAATGTGCCCTGTGATCTTTGAACTTTGACCTTGTGACCCCTACATCTAATCAGTTCATCGGCTCTGCAAGTAACATACATGACCTAAGTTTGGCAGCAATCCATCAATCGGTTCTTCAGATAACGCGATCACAAGCTCGTTTTGCATACATAATGAGCCCTGTGGCCTTTGACCTTTGACCTCGTGACCTCAAAATCTAATCAGTTTTTTGGCTTTGCAAGTAACATACATGACCTAAGTTTGGCAGCAATCCATCAATCGGTTCTTCAGATAATGCGATCACGAGCTCGTTTTGCATACATAATGAGCCCTGTGACCTTTGACCTTTGACCTCGTGACCCCAAAATCTAATCAGTTCATCGGCTCTACAAGATACATACATGACCAAAGTTTGGCAGGAATCCATCAACCAGTTCTTCAGATAACGCGATCACGAGCTCGTTTTGCATACATAATGAGCCCTGTGACCTTTGACCTTTGACCTCGTAACCCCAAAATCTAATCAGTTCATCGGCTCTACAAGATACATACATGACCAAAGTTTGGCAGGAATCCATCAACCAGTTCTTCAGATAACGCGATCACGAGAACGGGACGTACGTACGTACAGACGTACGTACGTACGTACGTACGGACGTACGGACGGACGGACAACCCGAAAACATAATGCCTCCGGCTACTTCGTAACGGAGGCATAAAAAGTTATGCAACATAGAACTAAATCTTAGTACTTTTTAAAGAACATATCTAAGCAGTACTGACTGTAAAAGCAGCAACAGGAATATAGAAGCACTATAAATTAAAAGTAAGAGTATTAGATATCTCAATGTAAGTCCAAGAGATTAAACTGATTATGAATGTTAGTCTGTACAGTGGTGGGAAAATTGTGCAAAGTTTGGTAGAAACTAATTGAAAGAACAACAAAAGAGTTAAATTACCATTTACTCTGGAAACATATCACAAACATAGAAACATAAAATGGCAAAATAACTTTTGCTTGCATATCGACATCAATGGTTTAAACATCAATATTGCCTAACTCAGGTGTTTAAAAAATAAGAATTTGACATCGTACAGATAATTCAGCGGATAACAAAAGCTTAAGCTTCAAGTAAAGAAAAAAATATGATCCGCACAAACCTGCAGAAAATATATTACAAAACATATATATATATATTTCACATACTCTCACTCAAATACACACACTCATGTACAGTCATCATACATCAAACAGACATTACATACATAATTGTTCTGTACAATATATTAACAGATTTGGAAATTACTGATCGATGCCATACACCTAAAACTGTTTCTTCTAGAATAGAGGCATGATTGATATGCCCCTTTAACACTTTCTATCTATATGCACGGCCTGCATAGAAAACAAAAATTCCTTACAAGTTATTCCTACTAGTGTATCTCACTCATGCACAGGGTTGGGTTACTGTAACATGATGAAATTAAAGAATTAAAGTAGGTCATTCATATGCACATTCAAATGCATTTCTAGATATTTAACATGAAGTTTAATTTCTGTTTTCCAACAGCTTACATGGATGACTTGCATTAAATATTGTGTGGAAAAAGCAGTATGAAAGGGTTATATCAACCAATGTAGATGAATGAGAAAACAAACTTATTTCATCAGACTGAATTGTTTTAATAAATACAGCATTATGATTTGTGACCAAACTTACAGAGGAAATAGCATTTTAAGGTTTCATGAACACAATCTTAAAACATACTCGAACTTCAGAATAATTGATACAAACTCTTTTCAGCACATCATGTCACACATGACCAACAGATGAGAGAGGTGGAGACAGATCAAGAGATCAAGAGAGAGAGAGATCAAGAGAGAGAGAGAGAGAGAGATAGGAAGAGAGTGGAATTTATAAGATGATCATCAACACATTTTACTGTCACACTATTCATTCATGTCCAATACGTTCCACTATCCTGACACCCTCACTCCCTAACGAGGCAAGACACCCCTATTTTACAATATGGTATGAGCTGAAGTACTACTAATAGACTACAGTATTTGGTCTGTACCATCTCATAAGAGTTGGGATAATGAATGAAGGAGTGTTACTACACAGAAAAGAGAGAACGATAACACTCCAGCGGTTCTTGATGCTCCGTTTGGATCGTCACTTGATTGTCCCGTTCTTCCTTTAGCTGTTTAAAGACAAGAAAGAGAAAGGGAAAAATAAGATATAACAAAATACTAAAAATCTGAAAATATGTGATTAAGAATATCAAATAAGTTCTTTGCATGGATACTAAACACAATTTTAAAAAGCCAACCATAAGTTTTGATATGACCAAAGACATTAAATAAAAGACGGAAAGGAAGAGGACCCATTTTTGTGGGTGATATAAACTGTATAAACTGTATCTGTATTTGAAGCATGAGGCTCCTATAGCATCTTGCATATACTTTGTCCACCTTTCCTCTTAGCAGCACATTCAAGTACGTTCGTAACCCTCCCCTCCCCAACATTTGAACAATAAAAATGAGGACAAAATACAAAGAGGGACCATGTTTCCCCCTCATCTGTTTGTCGTCATCTTACTGCACTCACCTATTGTAACCGATAAAGGAGGGTTACTACTGGCCCCATTACCTCCGTCACTATATCCTACTACAGTGATCAGATATGTGGTCTCATAAGTCAAGCCTCTGATTATAGCTGTCGTCTTTTCATTGCCTTGGACAATGATAGTCACGGCATCTGGAGCGAACGTGCCCTCCGTCCTGTAGCGAACCTGCGGCAAGGTCAAAATCAGAGAATTGCAAGGTTTATACTTTAGAAGGCTTAGAGAGCTAGAAGAGGAAAGAACTTATTCACTTCAAATCTAATGTAATAAAATACACAAACAACATCCAGTCTATATATATATATATATATATATATATGTATATACCATTAATATAACAAAACTTGCATTACTCCAATGATATCAAATATTGAATATTGACGATAATAATGATCATTTATCTACAGCCATCCTATTTCTGGCTTATATGATTCAAGATCAAAATACGGGGATGATTTTCACATATATTTCCTTTGACCCTTTAATAATATGCATCAACTAGGACTCTATATTTTGAGATTTTTTTTCTTTCTTTAATATTAAGGCTTTGTCTAAGATTTTAAACTGTTATCTGTTTTTATTCTGACTTTTATTCTGAATTCAATGCACTAAAATTCTGGTTGTTAGTATTCTTACAATTATCTAGAAGCATAATCTGAAAAATGGTGTTTGTTTAAATTTCCTATCTAGTACAATTGTTATTTCTTCGAACATCGGATTCCAGGACAGTCGTGTAGTGTTAGGTGGGCTTAAGGCTAATGGATTTTGAAGGAGACTTGCCTTGTATCCCATGAGCGGCTCTTCAGATGCTGATGTAGTAATACCATTCCAATTGACTGTAAGATCACCGCCTGTTTCTGATTGGACTGCCCTCACTCCTGTTGGTTTCTGCATGGGTGCTGTACAATCAAAAGGGAAAAAGACAAAAGGGATATGACTTTGAACCCAAGATGTATGCAATGTGTAATACATCTTCCCAACTCTAACCATCTCTGTGTAATTCGTGCTCCTAACCATATAAATTCCATTTTTTTTCAAATTACGAACCTTGATGAGATTATTCCTGAAGCAGCTTTTCCAAGCCAGGGTGGGGTGTGCTGTGATAGCATGTGATGGACGATGAAATAGTGTAAACTTTGTATTGTCAATAGAAATATCTTGTGGACTGAAAAAGCTTATTCTTCATGACATAATTGGAATAGGGTACAAAATTGTGAACTACAATACTGTGGATGGCGTTCATCAAGATGAACGATGGGAAATATGATTTCATACGATTTTATATATGACTTCATGAAATTATTTAAGAAGTTAAACTTGTGATACTTTTAATGTATTTTCATTTTCTGGAATTGTATGGATCATACGGATATTAACGGCACTGATTTCTAGCAAAGAATAAGAATGAAAAATCATGATTCTTCCAATCATGTACTTTTCTAAAATCTGGACAAGATCCAAGATTTGCATCCTCTCGGTAATATGTGATATATCTGTTTAATGGATGTCACTACTACAGATATGCTAAACAAGCATGGATGTTTAAACAAACAAGGTACATTGGTCAGTGGTGTCTTGAAATATATCCATCGCCTTTCAGTCTTCATAACTTACCGCTCTTGAAAGTCGTATCTGAAGCCGTGTTGCTATCAGGTCCGTTACCACCTCCGCTGTATGCTGCCACCATTACAGTGTACCTGGTGCTGGGTTCCAGGCCTGCGATTGTATTTGAGGTTCCAACTCCCAGACTGACTGCGGTGTTAGCGTTGGCTTCATTACTGTCATCACTCCAATACTTCAACTAGAGAGAGAGAGAGAGAGAGAGAGAGAGAGATACAATCTGGCTACGATCTGATTTGGGAAGAATTCTCAAAAGCATTTGATGTGGGAATTCAAACTTCTAAAATCTTAATGACCGACGATCTGAATAATCATATGATTAAATAAATTCTAAATTTCTATGGATTTCAATCTCCCTTGGAGGAGGAAAATCTAAATCAGCTCAGAATAGTAGTGAAGTCATACTAGTAGTACGATTGTCTATGATTTGAAACTGATTCCCCTTTTATTCGGACTAGAAGGTTCAATGCACTAAAATTTCAGTGGTAAAAATTCTTTTCATTATCTAGAACCTAAATCAGGAAGAGGATGTTTCTTTAGATTTCCATATCTAATAAAATTGCCATTTTTCGAATCAGATCGCAGAAAGATTGTAAAGTGTGCGATGGGCTTTAAGTGCCTGTGAGAGAAGTTTACTCCATTCTCTTTATCTAGAAGACACCACTTACCTTATACCCCATGAGTTCTCCCTCAAAAGTGCTTTCATCAATTGCATCCCAGCTTACATTGATGGTGGTCCCAGAAGCTCTCTCTGCTTTCACTCCAGTGGGAGCTGTCTTGGGTGCTGCAGAGCAAAATGAAGTGAACAAGAATACTTTGAGCTTCATGGAAGTCAAGCCGAAAAGAAAGTTTGACTACCAAAAGAACTTGGTCTACTTGGGGCACTAATGATGTTAGAAGACTCTAGGATTCTTTAGGATGGAAGGGTTTGATTCATCGGAGGATTAATGGCTTGTTTGATGTCATTAGAATAGGACATCCTAAATCCAGTGATCACCTCTGAATAAGCAGTCATAAAAGTGGTGTTGAGGTGTCTGTGTCATTTGTAATTGTATTGGTTTTCCTGAAGTGTATTGTCCTATGACAGGTCAAAGTAAAGCTTTGGCTTTTTGTCCTTTTCTTTTCAACATTCCAAAATCTTAAAATCTCTTCCCCTCCCTTCCCTCCTCCTCTCCCATTCCATCCCTTCTTCTCCTCCTCTGCTCCTCCCCTCCTCCTCCCTTTCACCATCTTAGTCATCAACCCTCCCTCACCATTCTTACCATCATCTTCATTACGAGTTAAGTCAAGATACCTACCTTCTTGGTATGAATAGATGACTGCCCATTCACTGAAGGGACCTTCTCCCTCGTCGTTCTTTGCCTGCACCCGTACATTGTACTGTGTGTAGAGTTCAATGCCCAGTGTAGCTGTGTAGATGATTGCATTGGGTTCCTCAAGAAGACCCGTAGAGGACACCTGACTGTCGACCTTCTGCCATTCCACCTTGTAGGACACCGTTTCAGAGTTCCACTTGGATGACGGGAATTTCTGAAATAGCATCAAATATTAATCTTATCAGGAGATCAGGGAGGGACTAGTAGTGGAGATGTGGGAGACTTGAGCCAATTGTTTATATTTTTATCAATATTTCTCATAAAATCCTTATTTGTGAGGATGTAGGACGCCGTTTCCGAGTTCCACTTGGATGTCAGGAATTTCTGAAACAGCATCAAAGGTTCATCTTATCAGGAGATCAAGGAGAGACAACCGGTAGTACTCCAGTCCAATCGTGTTTATGTACCAATCTGGGCCCCATTACACAAGGAAAAGTCAGCCATTGATTACTATTATCATATTGAAAGCTACTGTATGTTCAATCAAATGACGATACAATGAATTGCTAAGTTTTGTTTAAGGGCCAAAATCTGATTATCTATGTCTAGAGCAGGGGTGATAGTGACCTTTCTTAACCCCCGCCCCCTTTGAGTAAAAAAAAAAAAAAAAAAAATTGGGGGAAAAAAAAATGGCATCTAACAACATTCTCCTCCTTTCGAGTAAGAAAATTGGGGAAAAATGGGGAAAAATAGGGAAAATAAGGAAAAATCAGGAAACCGATTTAAATCAGGTAATAATCATGTCAATTTTTAAATAAAACAATAGCCCATATGCCTGGCTAACAACATATAACAAATGTATGTCAATGAGCATAACTTATGCATTTGTTTATCTTGAGGATTTAACTTGATTGTATTGTTATTATCATAACATGAACAGGTACTTACATCCCATGTGATTCTAAGATCTCCAGTATTGCCGCCACCACCTCCAACATTCGATGGTGATGCAGTAGGAGCTAAAAGTCAAGGATCATAAGATAAAAAGTTAACATTCATAATACAAATTGGAAAATTTAATTCATTGATCTTTAAATAAGAAACAACTTATCCACTGAATGGTATACAAATTAAACACTGCCTTACAGAGACTGGAGCTAATTCTATAGGGTCTTGTTGACTGCTAGTATCCCATATGACATGATACAAGAAATGAGTTCCCATAAATTATGCATTTTAGTATACCTACCCGCTGCATTATCCTAGCCAAGCCCCAATGTGTAAAGTAAAATGATTTTTTGTTCTTCAAAAGAGTTCTTAAAGGCCCACTGCACTACTGGTAGCTACTTGCGCCCTCTATATAACTAACAATGCCTAATCGGTGACCATTGGTCCCCCATGATCCTCTTTTTCTTATGTTGACTGAGAGCTGAGTTGATGAGATAACCACCTGTCCAGTGACCTTGCAGAGCGGTCTAATCCCTCCTGTAAACTACGGCAGATAAGCTTTAAATATTCAAGTGCTCTATGTTATGTGTGAGACATTAATCAAAATAAAAACATGATATTAATAGAAGAAAATATTGACTGATTATCTATCAAGTTTTATTCTGGAAGGTAGTTCCATTTAAAGCCCCACTGCACTACTTATAGCTACTTGTGCCCTCTATATAGCAAACAATGCATAATTGGTGCCTGTTGGTCCCCATGATCCTCCTTTGCTTATGTTAATTGAGAGCTGATTTGATGAGATAACCACCTGTCAGTGACCTTGCAGGGAGGTCTAATTTCCCTGGCCAAACTAGTGCAGACGGGCTTTAAGCCAATAAAGAAAATTTGACGGCCTGGTTTTCGAGGAAGCACTACGTCTTGGACTTACAAAGGCTTGATAGAGTCTGGTAATACCTCTTTAAAGCAAACTATTTATATAATGTATGTATCCCTGTATGAATCTTACCTGTTTTGCCAGTTTTGACACCGGCCTCTACAGGTTCGCTGGGTGTTCCCCGACCAATCCTATTGACAGCAATGACTCTGAAGGAATAAAGACTGAACGGATCCAAGTTTACCAGACGAACAGAGTTAGATCCAGCGCTTTCACCTGAAAAATGAACAAAAACACAAATAAATAATAATGATATCACCTTTATAATTGAATTTGAAATAATATGCGTTAAAATACATTTGAGAAGCAAAAAAACTTTAATGTGTTTGGCAGATAGGCCATACGTTACATTATAGAAAAAATATGAGCAGGATTAGCTGTTTTCCAAACAATTCCCTATTTAAGGAGAAACTTATATAGTTCAAAAGACTAAGCTTATGTACATAAATGGGACATAAATCTTAATTTGATATAAATTTGTCAAGAGTTCAGAAATGGCATTACCATTTTATAGCAAGAACAATTATTTGATCTATCAAATTCCATTGAAGTGCATTCAACAGTTTGGGAAAGTTTAAATTTCTGTATCTGCTTGGACAAGTGGAATTAATTGTATACTGATTCAGATATTTTTTACATGCACTTAAGCGAGCAGTCTACCGTATCCCTTTAATAAAACTAATACAAGCAGTGTCGGTTTTTACAGATGGATACTTTAGGGTGCTCTACTTGAGGAGTTGGGGCACATTTTAAAATAAATGACACATAGATATGATATAAGGATCATTCTCTTAAAAATCTTTCCCTCTGATACTTTTGAATATATAAAGGTCAATTATGTCAAGGATACAAAGAGATTTTGATATTCAAATGACACATTTTCACATATTGAATACATGTTCATGATAGAATGATTGAATGAAGCTAACAGTGACTTACAAATAAATAGTGGCAAAAGATTGATAGCTGCTCTACGTCAATGAGTCATACCCATCATTCATGTATCCTCTCAAATTAAATGCCACTTCTCTTTTTATTATTCTTGATTCTCAATACAAAAACAAAAACATTTAAATGGAAAAGACACCGCTTGCATTGCAAATTTTTTTTGTGGTTTACTGTGGAATATATTAAAGGGGTGCTTGACTTTGGTAAGCTCATGCACTCTTCTGAGAATACAGGGCTTGACTGGTTTTTACTAGTGTAATATTTCTTTGTAACTCAACCTAATTCTAAACTTAATGTGAGAGTAGCATTTAATTGAGGTCATGTGTGAAAAAAACAATAAAACATTTCATCACTGCAAATTCCAAGAAAAAAAGATTGAAAAACCATGCTCTATCAGGTTTAACAGAGATCTTTTGGGAAGAACTACCAGGAATAATATTTCACAGTTCTGTCTATTACCTAGTAATCAAGGAAATAATAATCACAAACAGCTGCTTTGTAGTAAATGTAAGCAAATAGCTAATAAATAAAAAAAATTCTTCCTGATTTAGATACAATATAATATAGGAATGGGTGAATGGATGAGGCTTTCAACATTTAGAGCAAAGAAACAGAGGGGGAATTTTGCATACAGACTAAAATCAATTAAAAACAAAGAAACGTTACAATGCATATAAGTTTTTAAAAAAAATTAAAAAAAGGATAGTAAATTGAAGAAGAAAAGGATTTAAGTAGACAGAACTGTAACAATTTTGTAGTCCTTTTCTCAAAAAGAAACACACAAAATATACTAGAACACAGAAAGTGATACTGCATTTAAATAAATTTGTGTGTGAGCATGAATAGAATGACCTGAGTTACATATACAAGCACAGAGTGTTCTCCTCTTAGTGAAAAACTTTTGTACTGGATGATCAGAAGTTCATAATAAACTTGAGATAATTTCTCTCTAAGAATTTTTTTGCCAGAATTCAACAATTGCTTTTGAGCTTCCATCAAGCTACAAAACCATGAAATACATAATAACGGATGTCAGAATCATAGGTACAGAGAATGGGACTTAAAGCTGCGATATGTACGGGGAAAAAGAGATATAATACTGATAAAACATCTGAGGGGGAAGCAGATATAATAGGAGTATACAAAATCACTACCAAACATAATGCATTGAAATGAAATAAGACAGCAAAGAGATAGAAATTTTACAACTTCTCTATAAAACTAGTTTATACATTAACACTGATGTTTATGCCATCAAACAAAATTGTACATAACAAATTGAAAGAATGTGACATATCATATTAGAAAAGTTTCTGAAAATTAAAGTTGTGAGTTAATTTTTCTGTACAGAGTTACTCCATAAAATATGAAGAGCTTTTGTGGACTAACTATACCATTACCACATTAAAAAAGTGACATCCCTTGAAGGCTAAATTGTTTTTTTTTAAAAGGTACCTTATTTGTGTCATGCATTTTTTAGCACCATGCTCTTCAAAATTTGGTGAAAAACTGCAGTTGTTTCCTTTTCACATAAATTTCAACAAATTAACTCAGTTGTTTATCTAATTTCTACCAGAACATAGTCATGTAGGATAAAGTTACAATACAAGATATGCGTGTACTATTTCAAAGGGGGAAAAAGGACGTCAAGTAAAAAAAAAAAAAAAAAAAGAAGCAAACTACAAACGCAATCCAAGCTCTATGATATGTAAAAGAATGTTTTTTCGGAGAAAAAAAAGAGGCAAAAAATAGACCTTAAGAAACGAGAGATAATTTATTCTCACCAAAGTCTGAGAGGACTGAAACGCCTGTACAATGCAAATGTGTTAAGGATTAGATACAAAGAATGATGTATCAATATATTATCATTACTGTGGTCTCTTTTTCTCTTCTATCCCTATACTTTACCTCTTTTTTGAAATGACATATAAAATAACAGTTAATTAAAAATTAAGTATAGTTGGTAGTCGGAGCATTTGCATACTATGATAGTTGATGTTAAAATATATATGTATTATGAAATATTATGATTAAATTTGTTAGAGTACAACTCCTGTATATGAATGTTGAAAAATATTCATATAAAAAAGGAAAGTAGTTAATAATAATTGGGTAAGATATAAAGGAATAGAAAGTACTACAATTACCTATAGTGCACTTGTGTTACAACAAAGCTTTTTCTTTCACACAATATATGGATTACTATTTGCAGTTGAACATTATATTTGAGCATGATGAAAGAATTCTTTAAAGTATGCAGGAAAGAAATTAGCGGTAAAGTGAAATATCACAGTGGCCTCTCACAGGAAAAGCATTATGTTGTTAATGCAATAAGCAAATTAATACAGCATTAATATCTTCTATTCAGCCATTGGTAACAATTTATTCACATTATTGATTATTCTTCTAAAAGATGGTTGGAATATTGCATAAATATGCAAATGAGTTAGTACGTAGTTATGCCAACAACACGACGGAGTACAATGACAGTGACACTGACCTGAGCGGAGTTCGACCCATTCGTCGCTATGATCCGTTTGTCCTTCGATGGTAAAGGATGTGATGGGGCTGTTGTTGTCTGTGCCTGGGACCCAGCGCAGGTTGGCAGCCAGGTTCTCAACCTCCACCGAGAGACCGGACGGGGGACCAGGGGGTCCTACAAAGGAGGAGAACCAACAGGTATCATGATCAAATGTGATGAACAACAGCTAGTTCTATCAAAGTCTACGATGGAATGATATATATGTACTTTAAAGCCAGCAACTTTCAGTAAGACTATTTTCATGGAAAGAGACTGTCTCAAATTGCATAAACTATTTGTTGTGTCAATTGTCATCTGTCGTTCTAGCAGTTATTAATAATTTGATATATATATTTAAATAGGACAGTGGATCACAAGAGCTAGATACTCTATCTAACGGGTGATTAGCCCGGAGACCCATTAACATTTTTTTTTTAAAGAGGCCCACCCACAACAGAACAATTTTTGAGTTAAGAAAAAAACTTTACATTTTAAAAACAAAAGTCTATAAGGAGACAGAGTGTTTTCATCTGCTTTTGTTTTCAAGGAAACTGAAAGTGCACCAATCACCTACAAAATAATGTGTGGAGATTGGGAATGTATAAAATCAACCCTTAAAAAAAGCCCTGTACCTTGCAATATATTGGCTACATAATGAGCACTGTGACCTTTGACCTCGTGATTCCAAAGTCTAATCATTTCATTAGCTCTGCACGAGAACCGTACGTACTCCGGCTACTTCGTAACGAAGGCATAAAAAAAGAGGCCCTACTACACACAGAACAATTTTTTGAGTTATTCAGAATTTTTTTTGACATTTTAAAAACAAATGTCTAAGGAGACAAGAGTGTTTCATCTGCTTTTATCTTTAATGAATAGTTAACAGTTAGGTCTGAAGAAAATGAGGGACAACATTAGATCATGCGCAGAGAAACCAAATTGGACTTGGTTACTTGCAGGCGATACTCGATAAGAGGGCGTACGCGTGTGTGACTAGTTGACTCACAAGTCCCTAACATGTACAATTGAGAGCGTATTTACACTTGCTAAATCTCGTTATCATTGTTTGGTTGGAGTTCTGCCCTCCTTCCTTTAATGTATTCAATTCTTGGCCCTGTTTCATAAAACTTGTAATAAAAAACAAATGCTAAATTTCCATAAAAAATTAGTTCTCAGCCAATCAAATACCATGACTTCAGCTATTGTAACTTGTTATTGCGATTAATGTTCATGACACAGGGCCCTGACACAAGTTTACTGGATACTTTGATGAACGGTGGTGAAGAGAAAGAATGAAATCTGGGGTACATATATACTGACCTGCAATGTCTAACGTAGCACTAGAGCGGTCTGAATCAGCCACAGTCAGAGCTACGCAGGTGTATTCACCACCGTCCCGTAACTGAGCTGAGACGATCTCCAAGTTGCCATTGTCTCTCTCGGATTATTAAGGAAGAGAAGGAGGAAAATTATCGGGCCACATAAAAATTTGAAGAAGAAAATAGGTAACAGAGAAATAAAATATATTTCAGAAGTAGAAAGAGGTAAAGAAAAAAATTTGTAGATCCAAATCTTGTATTCAATACCATTCAAAATGTAATTGGAGATATATTAATTAATGACCCCATGGGTGTAAGAAAAGAACAAGAGTATATATATATATGTATATATATATATATATATATATATAGAGAGAGAGAGAGAGAGAGAGAGAGAGAGAGAGTGGTGAGTTTAATTTGCATGACTCTGTCAGATGTAATGCTAAACCTTGCAGGAAGGCATTTCATACAAACACTGAAAATAAGCATCGCCGTATTGGATACTAACCCACTGATCTATCTTGTATGCCCTAAGTCTGACAAAAGTCCCCATAAATTCAACAAATCGATCTTGTTCATTAAAGGTAATACAAAGTTTTGGGAAATTTGAAAATTGGGTGGAAAGTGATTCTTTACAATTTTGATACATTTGGATGCCCCTGTAGATGTATTATAAACACAAGAAAAATGTGCTGGCGCTCCCGGTAAATTTTGATAAATTTCAAATAGCGTCTACGGTTGTACAATGATAGCTGTGACCATGAAAATCTCAGAATATGTAGTTGTGATATATATTTCCAAACGGGAATAGCTAATAGGTCGGTTTTAGTCAAGAAACATTGTTTTATAGCTTAATTAATATATTGACCTTGAGAGGGAGCTATATAACATAAAGAGTTTATTATTTACAATTTCATAACTTTAGACTCGATTTCAACCGCAACAACGATCCCTGAATATTGTAGGATCGCATATGCTTCCAATATGTTCATTTGAACCAAATTCATGACCCCATCCAAAAACTTTGTATTACCTTTAAGAACTCTGATAATGAAACATTACACATCACAATAATTCTCTTATTCCGTCGGCAAATAACAAGCTGTTCAATGTAATTTCATTATATCACATTAGTGGATACGTCACAAGACTGTGGATTACATGGTTCGCGGTGCGAGTGCCGCTGCGAAACTAATGCCATTTGGCAAGAAATTAGTTTACATTTTCGCGGTCTTACCATTCTGTATCTCTCGATTTCACTGAGGTCGATTTCTACTCCATTGTGCTCCCATAGGTAGGTCAACTCCAAGTATTCATCATGAGCAGCTTTACATTTCAGGGTGGTAGACTGCCCAACCTCTACCAAGGTGTTATCAGGATGCCCCGTGATCACTGTCGCATCTATCAAAGAAATCAAGTGGAAGACAGATTAGATTGGGTTAGATTGGATTTGAATTTTTAGCTGTATACATTTGGATTTGCATAAAATTATTTATATCGTCTCACATATTGTTATCCAAAGAATAGTACCGTATTTGCCGGCGTAAAGGCCGCAGTATTTTTGGAAGATAAAATATCAAAAAGTCGGGGGTGCGGCCTATGCGACGAAAGAGTAAAATTTTTTTTTAAAAAGTAAGTTAAAAACAGCACGAATTTGCACATATGGGACTAGATCTACGAACGGTACAATAACTATACATTTCCACACATCTTCATGACAATTTTATCTTGCATTGTTGACATGAAGACGAAAATAAACTTCCAAAAACAACATCTGCCGATAGATCTTAATCTAAGTTCATGCCAATGCATTGCAAAAGTAAAAGAAGGGCCTGTTTAACGGAGCTGCCGCGAAGCATCCATCATGCAAAGTTGCTATTTTGAATCCTTTTCAATACACAAGAGAGAGGCTTGTGTATACATCACAAAAAACTACATAAGCTAGTATCAGTGCGGGATGGCCGAGTGGTCTAAGGCAGTGATTTTTGTCAAATTAACATTTATACACAAGAGATCAAATCCTGACTTCGACAAAAAGTTGTTTTTTTTTGTTTTTTTTTTGTTGTTTTTTTAAAATGTCAAAATCGGGGGTGCGGCCTATACGGCGCTGCAGCCTTATCGCCGGCAAATACGGTATGCAAGATTGCTGGGAGGAAGTGGTACTTCTAAATACAGATATCTTCTGAATGGTCATGTTAGGGTAACCGTGTTGTTGGGTATTCTGCAGTTATTCCCAAATTTGATTTGATTTGATTCATCAACTCCATATAATGAGTGTCCACTCAACCTTTCTACATGACAGTCCTGATATCAATACACAAACAATGCACTAGCTGACCTTTTATATCCAGACTACCCTCGCCGGTCACTGTTCCATTTGAATTGGTGGCAGTGCACTGGTAAGTTCCACCATCGGACATCTGTACATCTATGATGACCAGGTTAGGAGGGTCAGCGGTCAAGTTGTAGCGAGCGCCGTCTGTGATGGGTTGACCATCGTGCTGCCATGTGACCGTCGGAGCGGGGGCAGCATCCACATCGCATACCACAGTGACTGTAGCTGTGAGTGGGGCAGGCTTGTCTGTTTCCATTGGGCTCAGGAACTCGGGTGGGAAGGCTGTCAGAGCCAATGACAAAAAAAAAAAACAAGCATGATGAGAAGAGCGAATGTATCGATCATTCTCATTTATTTGGCATAAAAAAATCACAGCCTCTGAGGAGAAATGGAAAAATTTGTCTACTTTTATTCTATCTACTTCTATTCTGTCTATTTGTCCATTTCCACATCAATATTTTGTACACAGCAAAGAAAATAAAAATGATTGCTGGAGAATATGTTGGATGAATTTGAAAAGTACAGCTTAAACTGATTTCTAATTTAAAGTATGCGCCTTTCTCTCTTTCCCCCTTTCTCTTGTAACCTTTTCAACAGACTTAAACACAACCGTTAAACTTTGTCTTCAAGTACTAACAAGTAATATTTACAGTTGTTCTTACCTCTTACGGACAGCTGTGCAGCGGAATAAATCATGCCATGATCGTTGCTTGCAAAGCACTGATACATGGCTGTATCCGTCGTCATAAGGTCGCTTATTATGAGTGTCTCGAGGTTGTTGCGGAACTGATGTCTGTCTCGAGCGGTCAATATTTCTCCATTGCGATACCAGGTGTACTGGTCAGCCTCCTCAGCCTCTACGTTCCATTCCTGCATGGTGTTGATGTCTTTCATGGCATCCATTGGTTCGCTGACCCACGCTGGGGCTTCTACATGGTCAAAAAAAGCAAAATAATGCATGATAAAAATGCTTATTAAACATAAACAAATTAAAGAAACTGTATGTAATCATACTCCTATTTGGTGAGAAAAAAAATCATGGAATAACCAAAGGCAGTATTAGGAAGTGTTGACAGTTTGTCTAAGAGGCTGTTTACACAGGCATAGATAGTGCGCGCTAGACCGCGCTATCTCTGCGGTTTGGAAGGTACAATGTCGTTTCGGTCCGCCCAACAGCGAGCCACGGCGAGCCAAAACGGCGTGCCACTGGAGCACCTCTTGGGGTGGTCCACAAGAGATAGCGCGGTCTAGCGCGCGCTAGAAAAAAGGGGGTGCTACGATAGACCGCGCTATCTCATTGCGGTGTGAACAGCCTCTTCAACAGCTTGACATTGTATAACATAACAAGTCTGTTTTAAAACAGCTTGATGTTGTATAACATATCACATTCATATCTTCATATTACAGGATTGCTAATAGTTTTGTTTTAAAAATATCTTCTAACAATCTCAGTCAATAGTTTCTTAGATTTTTGCAATAAAAATTTGACTAGCATTTGATGCATCTCTGAAACTCAGCCTCTGCATTACTGCCATGTCCATCATATCTTGATGACTCAGTGGTAGAGTAGTGGTCTTATAACCAGAAGGTCGCTAGTTCTCTTAAGAAAGGCATGATGTGCTATAGTTCCCTTTCGTAAGGCATTAATTGTAATAACCAAGTCTATGGACAGGACTTAAAGTCATAGGTTAATTCCTCTGGTTGCTTACAGACATATACAGTGAAACCTGCTTTGGGACCTATTTAAAAAACATAGGTCACCTGTTTATAAAACATTTTCTCGCTGAAACACATTCTACAGAGACTAGGCATAAGACCAGCTGTTTCTGAAAACCATTTTCTTGTATATCTTGTGCAGTCTTTATACACAGGTTTCACTGTACTTGCTTTCATAGCGGTTATATAAAGTAGATCAAATCAATCGTCAACCTACCCGCGACATTGAGTCCTGCCGAAGCTCCACTGTTGACGTCATCGATGTAACAGAGGTAGGAACCTGCATCCTCCAGCTGCACGCCCACAATGCTTAAGATCTCACCCCCTTCCTCCAGCACGGCTCTACCGGTGGGCAACCCAGCACCAGGAGGTGATGTACGTACCCACTGGACCCTGGGAATCTGACCTGTTGGTTGCCTGGCAAAGTCACAGATCAAGAAAGAATGATGGGGAGGGAGTATTCAATTCAATTTTAAGTCAGAAATACTGGCATTTTAACTCAGTGTTGGGCTCAGATGAAATGCTAAGCAACATTTTGGTACACTGGTATTTATTGGTGTTGTGTCTTAGATCTTTGAAAGCTAGCTAGCAGATTTGAGCTGATCATTTTGATAGCCTTGATTTTGCTGGCAGTATAATAACCCTTCTCATTACCAGCTGCATACAAGGCAATCTTATATAAGCATACTTATATCGAAAATAATATCGCTAGTGATATTCGTTTGTCTCGCAACGTGGTCAATAAGGGATCTAAAAGATCACGACGTTTCGTGCGCCGCTGCAACACTTGGTCAGGTGATGAAAACTAATGTAAGCAAGCGTGTTTTATACTCTATGGGAGGACCGGCGCAGTGGTCAATAATTTGATCGATAATTGGAACAATAACGCACAAGGCCTATTGGCCGATGCACACGGTGCACAACCAATCAGCAGGCCGCTGGTTCGGCTCGCCTGCTGGGCGGAAGCAGTAGCGAGCTCATCCAATCAACGGGCCGCTGGCTCGGCCCGTCTGCTGATTAGAATCGACTGGTGCTGGCCGGCATTGCGAGACAAACAAATATCACTAGCGATACTATTTTCGATACTACATCCGCAATGAATAATATATTTAGCATACTTACAGTTTGCTTTTTTTCTCTAGGTATGGTTGCCTCCATAATGGTTTATAAAAATACATACAAAAAGGAAGAGTAATTATTTTTCCTCCATGTGGATGGAATACTTACGGGCCATAGAAGAAACATTCAAATTTGACGTCTTCTCCAGCAATGGTCGTCACATCGGTAGGTCTGTTCTCTTGAACAATCCTGATAGCTGAACTTGAAGAACCTGTAACAAGAAGAAAGGTCAAAGAGTTAAGTGTATTGATTGATTGAGACTGGACATAGGGCATCACTTGAAGAACAAGCCAGTATTCGATCATAAGTTTGTTTTTACTTTCAATAGTCCAGGTTTTAAACGTGACTAAAGGCTCGTTCAGACATGAAGCAGTAAACCACAACAGTTTTTTTTATTGATGTGTAAATGGATTGCAACTGCACACAGCAAAGGTCCAACAAGTATTCACTGAGCGCTGTGTAATAAGATATATATGATATAAGATATAAGATATATGTAATAGAATCCCAATAGGAGCCAACAGAATAATGGAGAAAAAAAAGAAATATGACCCCAAAATTGCCATATTCATTGGAACAGTAATGTAAAGAATAGTGATTCATTCGCTCGACTCTCAATCTAAAGGTTGAGGGTTCGAATCTCATTCCGGCACAACATTGATCCACATTTATCACTCTCCACCCAGGTGGGGCATTCGCAGGGGTACTGATAATTGCAGGTCTCTCAGGAAGAACAGCATTGAAGCTGATGAAGTTTCCCTGGGTAAACAAACTTATTATTATTATCATAATTAATTACCGGCATTGACTGTAACAGTGACCAATGGACTGACTCTCATTTCGACACCTCCGTCAGAGATAACATTGCTCTTGACCTGACACCTGTATGCTCCTGCATCACTTGCCAAAGCGTAGAAGAAGCAGAGTCGACCGTCATCCATAACCCGGATGCGGCTATCGCTGGAGTCCACCAACATATTCTCATGGAACCAATTGACCAAGATACCTGCATGAAAGATGAGAGAGAGTGGCACGCACAATTAGCACCATCGTAGCGTAAATCTAGGATTAGATATGCAAAATATCACTACACATAACATCCCTTTAGATGTATACATCCATGTACACACCAACATAAAACAGACTGTCACCTAACAGTTTAGAGCAACTACTTATCCACTGTTACCATGATTATTACATATTTTCTTTCTACAACATCTTCCAATTTGCCTAAAAAGAGATAAGAACAATTCTGTTGTTTTTTTGTTTTTTTTAAATTTTTAACTAACATATCAAATAACTAGATTGACAAGTTTCACACTGACTTCCCAGTGAAATATCTCACAAAATGCAGCCCAAAAACTCTCAATAATTTTTGCATAAAAGTACATTTCTATAGAAGTTATTCAACACATGCACTTCCCGCTCCAGGTTATATCACTCTAATAATTTAGTCTAATTTAACTATGAGCCATCGAATTACATATTACATCTGACTTTCAATAATGACAGCACTCAATTCACCATTAATACATACATGCCTATCTAGCAGATAATTCAACCAATAATAATTGAAACCCATTTCAAGTTTTGTTCATTCAAAACAACTATTGTACAATTCTACACCAATCTTAATGCAATCAACATTTCTGTTTTCATATTCCTGAATCAAATTAAGGGAGGAAAATGCTTGAGGGCTACAGTTCCTCGTGTGTTGCATTCAATTCAGTGAATTCATTAGTCCATGCAAGTGCATAGATAAGTAAAGTGGAGAAAAGCACACCAAAATTAGTTTTATGTCATCAGCATTCAGCGAAACTAAGATTTCCTATGTATCCAAGCAATTTTGTTGCAGGCATAATTTTATTATCTTTTTAGCTCTATTTATATATCAAGCGAATTAGTTTATTTCTCATCACAAGCACCCTTTCTTTGTGTTAAATCATACTCGAGGGAGAAAAAAATATCACTGTGGTTTATTCCTTTCATAGCCATCATTACTGTTCATCTTGACAAGAAATCTTAAAATCAATAACAACTAGATTTTAGATGATAGGAAAAAGTATAAACAAGGGGGAAAAGGGAAAGATTACTTCCAACGCCAAGCCTATGTAAGTTAGTGACTAAATCCTTCTTCATGAGATATTTTGATTCCAATATATTTCTGAGAGATGAGAGATGAGAGTTCACATACCTTATAATAGTTCAAACATGAGTTTGAAATTATAATAAACACCAACAAAATTTAAAAAAGAAACAATCAAATAAATGTTTTAATATTGGTAGAGATAGAAGAAAACAAGAAACACAAAATGCAGTTATATGAGAAGAACATAATACTAATGCAAAATCTGGATGCTTGAAAGTTTTAAGAAATTTGTGAACATACATCAAAGTAAAATCTGGTGAAATAATGGCTTTTGAAAATTACACCCCCCCCTCCCCCAGTGAACAAACAGGAGATAAGAAGATAAACAAAAACAATCCACAATTATTTACAACAAATGGTTCAGACAGGAATATGAATTTAAAACCAATGAATCAAATGTAAAACCCAAAGGCTCATAAACACAACAGTCCTTCATTTCCCCTCTCTCCTCCCCCCCCCCCCCTACCCGAAAGAACAGAATGAAATACATATAAGATGAAAATAAATGTAACACAAAATAATAACATAACTAAACAGAAATGTGAACAAAACATTAAAATTGAAGCTGAAGTTAAAAAGAAAAGAGAAAAAAGAAAAGACGAATGCAAGATAAAATCTGTCTATACCCCCCCCCCCCCAAAAAAAAAGGAATCGCAGAGCAATGAACAAAATCTTACATGTGTTATCTATCCTATAGATTATATTGATCATAAATTTCTTTAACAGGATCAATAGTACATTAATCAGGTCTTAACCGATGAACTACACCACACAAATAAACATACTTAAATTGTACTCTTTTGTACACAAAAAGGAAGCTTTCAGGTTTGACTGGTATTTTTTGTAACAGTATGAATACTAAAATGTCTATTTTGACTATAAGGAATGAACAAAAGGATTTGTTGTGAATTTATATACTTTGACAGACATGAGACTAATTTCTCTCTTTGAAAAAAAAAATCTACAACACATCTAAGACTGGGCAACATTTCTTTTTCCTTAAAAGCACAAGTTTTTAAACATATATCTGGATATTTGCAGTTCATCTAAACAGCAACCACATCCTTTCTGATATTTATACCTAGATCATACAGCATTAAAAGCAATAAGTAATTTATTCAACTTGAGCACCTCAAAGCAAATCTAATTTTACAATTATAATCAAAAGCCATATGTACAGACTGGATGGATGTAAACATAAGGGAAATTTCTGATGCTACCACAAGCATGGTAAGAAGTCTACAGCGCAATGTCAGGGTAAGCTTGTTGCTGCTGTCAGCAATTCAATGTTATGGGTCATTACATACTTCATTCATATATTCTTGTTCATTGATTGGTTAAAAGTGTGTCACATTATCATAAATAAACACGCTATTTTGCAAAAAGTACTATATACGGCTCCCAAGCCGTAAATAGTACTTCTTCTTGAAACTTCTTGAAACTAAAAGTACTATTTACGGCTAGCAAAAATTAAAACAGTACTCATGTCGCAGTGCGTAAAGTTTTAAAGTACTGGTATATTAAAATTTAACATTGAGTATGAGAATACGACATGCTGTTGAAATCCTATGAGTGATCGCTGCAAACTTTATGGAACTAGTATTAATTTTGGACTGTGCAAGCAGGAAATGGCAAGGTAATAGGAATGGCTACAGCTAATGGGTAAGTTTGAATTCTTTGATTTTTACAGCAAAATCTTTAAACCAATCAATGAACAATGAATATATATGAATGAAGTATATAAAACAAATATATACTGCCTTTATTTGAGTCTCTTGATTAAAACTATGGTCCCTCAGTGACTGCAATAGCACTATTGCAGTCACATTGGGCCCATAGTTTTAACCAGAACCTCTCAAGGCAGTATATATTTGTATACTATACAACTTCTATTTTCAGACTACTTTGGTACTAGTAACCCGTACATAACTTGATCCCCTTAGGGCTCTACACAAACGACACTCGTTTCTTCAACTTCATACATTTGACTGCTAGCTTGAATGGACAATGGACTTACTAAAGTACTAAGAGAAAAATAGCTCCAGTTTGATGTATGACTTCAGCACAAATATGAAGATGATTAAAAATGGGTATAGTTTTCATGATTTCAAATGACAATATTTATTCTTATAAGATGAAATGACTACAAAACAGATATGCTATGAAATGACTTTGTTACATGGAAAATACTTGTACATTGATGATGACATGACACAACCGGTTCCACAATTTGATCACCGAGTTACGGGAATCTATATAGGCAACCTGATAACTTTGATGTCCAATAATGAATATGATTTTAATTGATAATGGAGCATTCATATCGATATAAATACAGTATGAAGTATATACAGGAAGATGCATATGTCATGAAACTTGTGTCATCGCAATCATGCCCTTGAAAGAGTATTGCACGATTACATAACTATGCAAGATGATGGTTTTACTATGTAATGCATGCCTTCTCTTGCATATTATGTATACAAGATACAACAAGCCATGTTTCTGGCATGATGCTAAGATGATTTATGCACAGAACATTATTTTGGGATAATCCTAACAAGCTTTGACTATATGAATATTCATGATCGGCGTAGGAAAGTGGTATGCACTAAAAGAGTACCGATTCATAATTTGTCAGTCCATTAGACTCGCATCTTCACTATGTAGGATAGATTGTAAGAAATTTGGTATTTTAAAATAGTATATTAATATGGGCCTAATAAAACAAGGCCATCTCCTCTAGTAAGTGGTGCATGAGGAAAGGGGGGGGGGGGGGGGGGGGGGTCACAAGGAGAAAACATGCTCTGTTTCATTGCAAACCCTATTTTTTCACCCTCATGTTTCCAAATACTTGGATTCCATACAATCCGTTTCCTACTTATTGAAAATGCTTGTCAGGTGAATGGTGAACTCCTAGAAATGTTGGATTGGATGAGGATTAGATGAGATGGATTTCCATGATCAAACAGGATTGCACACGAGGTCCGAAGAGATCTAACGCCTTCCTGATTCTCACATGGTATAACATGAAGAAGGACTTACTGATAGTGTCACTTGCATCACACACTGATAAATGTGTTCAGAAATAAGGACATCATTTTTCTATCACTCAAAATTGATACCGGCACAAACTGCAGGGTATATTGTGTGGTCGGCAAGTAATATATTCTACAAGGACATTTTTGTAATATATAAGCTGAAATATTTTCCCTTGAGGTCACAAATTGATTGAATTTGTACCATTTTTAATGTGACTTTGGAATTAAAAAAAAGCTTCAGATCTGCTTGGTTGCTTGATTGATATCACATAACCATATAAAATCCTTGAAGTTAACTAGCTCTTGATATAAATCTGATTGCTGTACCAAATTATGGACCAACTCCTTTCCAAAGATTGAAAAAATTGAGTTCTTGTATCAGTCATTATTTCAGCCATTTCAAATGTATTTTCTTTTAGAACAGAAAACTGATACATCAATTTTCAACTTTATATCAGTTGTATGACAAAATAACGTTGACATCCTAGTATCTCTGAACACATTTATCAGCTGGTCTGTCCTCTGCGAGTAAATAGAAGTGGAGTGTTAAAGAGACAAAGTAGCAACGCAACAAACAAACTCTAACACTAACTATCAAACTGTATGGTTAGTTGACTAGTCATGTGATACACATTGCATCATGGGATACACTATAGACAATGGTCAGGATGGGTACAAACCGTCTGCTCACGGCAACGTTTGATCAATCAACATTTCGGTGGAGATCCAAGAAAATACAAGCGCAGCAAACGGTGATTACAAAATGAAATAAAACAAAATAATTCATAAATAAATAAAGCTAAGAATAAGATTTTCTGAGGGTAAACAAGTTTGATAAGAGGCAACTCTGGATATATAATGCCAGAGCATAGCATTTGCCAAGATAAAATAATATTAGATAATTGAGGGAATATTCTGATGCTGCAATATTATCAAGAACATTGTTCCTATGAAGTACAATATACTATGTTTCTCAAAGGTAAACCTTCATATCAACTCTTGCAAAGCTAAGGTACATAATATTTATATGCACCTTAACATTCACTCAATTCATTGAAAATTTATTGGTGTGTCCTAATTATTTTCTACTTGATGAATTGCATGAAATGAAGTCCTTTGGCACAGCAACATTCAAGAAGTTTTTTTCTCAAATACGGATAAATACCGGTAACCTTTTAGGTTTTCAAAACTTTACAAATTGTATTTTCTACATGTATATTCAAGTTATTACACTTCAATGCCATTTGCAAATTATCACACATTTGCTGTTGAGTTTGGATTAAAATGCTTCATTTAACACTGCCTAGCCACAACAAAAAGCTTCATATTTTTACACTCATTGCCCTGTAGATTTTGAAAAGACATGACTGAAATGATTCCATATTATATAGCTTTGTAAAATAAAATGAAATATTGTGGTTTGCGTAGGATAAAAATAAAAAGTAAAGCTTTATGTATCATCAGACATTTTATGATACCCTCATGAATTCATAAAAAGCATTTGTATTTTCTTACATAAATCAACAATTATTATTACGATTTTAATTTTAAGATGACACTGCAAAGCAATCGGTCAAAAGAGGGTGAAAAAGAAGTCTTTAAAGAGAAAAAGAGAGAAAAAGAGAGTGTAGGGAAGGGATGGAAGGAGAACATAAAGGTAATTGGAAGAGAAAAGAAGAGGGGAGGGAAAGAAAAGATAAAAGAGAAGGATATAGAATGGAGCAGAGAAAGAAAGGTAGTGAGAGAGAGAGAGAGAGAGAGAGAGAGAAAAGAGAGAGTTGGAGAGGGGACAAGAGAAAGAGAGTTGGAGAGGGGAAGAGAGAGAGAGAGAGAGAGAGAGGGAGAGAGAGAGAGAGATAGAGTTGAAGAGGGAAAGAGAGAGAAAGAGAGACAGAGAGACAGAGAGTTGGAGAAGGGAAGAGAGAGAGAGAGAGTTGGTTGAAGAGGGGACGAGAGAGAGTTGGAGAGGATATTGAAAGAGAGAGAGAGAGAGAGTGAGAGGGGAGATAGAAGAGAGATTCTGGACATGGTGGTGTGTTAAGACTGACCTGGAAAATGTGGAGGCGGGTTACAGGTTACACAGCCCCCCTGACCTGCAGTCAGTGACTGAGTTGATGTAGCACTTGGGTCAAATGAATCAACATCTGCAACAACAACAAAAACAACAACAAATGATAAACACATATCTTATGTTATATAATCACATATCTATTGAGGCAGCAGACTCTTAAAACGGAAGCAAAATTTAACCATATCATTGTATGTGTACACACAAATTAATAAATTGAAGCTCTGGTGGTCATGGATCAAACCTAAAACATATGCCAAACCCAATCAGAGAAAGAGAGAGAGAAAGAGAGAGAGAAAAAGAGAGAGAAAAGGAGAGAGAAAGAGAGAGAGAGAAGTACCTGGTAGTAAATAGATCATATCTAACAGTCAATAATCAGAATTCTTAATACTTTGCTAAATCTTTATAACATTAAGAGGCAATCATATACAAATCGTCTGTTGAGCACAACAACAAAAAAAAGCAACTAACTCATGGTAATATGTTAAGAGTCACTGTCTTTCTGGCTAAAAGCAGACTACGCATGGCAGTATTCATTCTACAAAAACAAGTTCCAAGTCTTTAACTCCTACTTCAAGACCACTTACAGGCAAAGACGAGCTCTGCTGGCAGACTTCTCACTGACCCCACCTGATTGGAGGCCATGCACACATACTCCCCGCCGTCTACTGTTCTCTCTGGGCTAGTGATGGTCAGTTGCCCAGGTGTGATGACCAGCCGAGCGTTAGTTGCCTGAGAGAGTGGAGCACCATCCTTCTCCCACGTGTAGGTGATTGGTTCATCACCAGTAGCACGACAATGGAGGGAGACTGAATCAACATTGGTTGCCGTATCAAAGATGGTTTCCTCTGGCTGCTGCATTAGGATTGGTCCAGTTTCTAGAGGAAAATAGAAATTCACAAATTATTTGTAGTTGTTGTTCAACCTCAATTAGTAGAATGTTAAAACTGTCCTTCATTAAAGGCATCATTTAGCAATGTTAAATCTGAGATGCACGGCCCTACTTGTTATCGGTGTCTGTGATATGGTGTTATATTGAAGCCCTAAAAAAATTGCGCTTCAAAAGTATCAAGAAGTGCCTCAAAAAAGTAAAAATCTTTGAGTGACCGGTTTTACCATACTCGTTTTCCCCAATATACTGTAGTTTTATGAAAACCGTTTGCCAAACGGTTTTTTAAATTTGTAATTCCAATCACAAACATCTTGATAATCAGACAGGCGATCGGCTTGTAAAAGTCATGGGGTTCCTTACTGACAATAAAAGGTTTATAATCCAGGATTTTGTTTCAGAATCTGAGACAAAGTTACCGGATCCCTTTAAGACAAAGTACACATTTATTGGTTAAAGAAAATGAAAGTATACATACATTCAATCCATTACTTGTCTAACTTTCATAAAGCAAGTCTGGATAGTATCATGTTCTTTAATACGACTAGCTAAACATCCTCTTAAAATCATCACCGATTTTAGTTGATAGTTATATGCTCTCTCAGTAATACCATTTGGTTGAGAGTTTCAAGGATAATTAGATCGCTGGAGAATTAGATTATTACTCACCTGCGTGTACAGCAGCACCAAAGAGGGCGACACAACTCAAAATGATCTTGTAAAACATCTTCACCTCCTAAGCTGTATATTTGATGAATATTGTGATGATTTCACTCTGAAAAGAGAGAAAACAGAAATCTAGTTAATATTATATTAAATCTGAAAACAGGTAGTCAGATTACAAAAATCAACAAGCATACACTGTACACATACAGATCCAAAATGTCAATACTTCTGCAAAGAACAATTCCAAGAAAAATTCTACAGGTTTAGAAGACAGGCATTGGATGGGTTTTATCATGAGTAATCTATATACATAAATTATTACTGAATAACTTTTCTTGGCCATATTCTGTTCAATCTTCACTCAGATCAAAACCCTTTTAGCCAACTGATCACTTCAAATATATATTATCCACTACAAAAATTATATACTCTGTCCCCTAAAAATTGATAGAACAGCATTATGTAATGTAGAGAAAGCAAAGGCTACTGCAATAATATCAAGGACAAAGATTTTCTGATCTAAACTCCCTGCTTCTGTGCAATGTTTCTCAGAAATAATGATACTCCGAGTGCATGGAACATTATCATGGAATAACATGGTACATACAATCTTTATTTTAAACAATAGAAATGTTTAGACCTGCATGAAGGTTTTTAATGCACAGTAGAATTGTTGAAAGCAGGGCTAAACTAGAGACCATTAGGCAAATAAGATTCTACACACGAATAAAAAGCAGAGAAAGATATTTTTTTAAATAATATATAAAGTAAGGATTTTAGAAATGATGAATTCCATTCCATTCCTCAATGCAGTGTATTGGAAATTTCATGCCCCAAAATGAAAATATGCCCTTGCTGCCTCATTTCATCAACTACTGAGAAATCCACTTACATGTATCTTGCAATATGTACTTTAATGGGAATGGCAAATTCATTTGTTTCAGGACGAATGTGGAATTTTAATTGATGAAATTAACCAATTAATATACAGCTTATCAAATCTACAGATCTAATTCTTCTTATTGAGGTGCTTTTTAATTTTTTTATAACAAAACATTATCAAATGATAATTCAGTTTGACGTTGCACTAGATCATTAATGTATTACTGCTGAGTTATTTTGAAAACCTTATCAAAATACATGTATTAAACTCCTCACATCAATAAAGAGCGACAAACATTTCCAAACATATAATTTACACAGCAGTTCAAAATCCTATCTCAGCCTAAATGAAAAATAGAGCTGCTTGTTAAATGGAGAGAGTGCTGTATAAAAGATGCTAGGAGAGAGTGCTGTATGGAAAATTCTAGGGTTTTCAGGTCACTGTTTAGCCATCCAAGACGAGAAGCATTATAGGGATCAAAAGAGGAGCCTGGTAGATCAGAACCGCGAATGATTGCTATTACGCCACTCATCTGCAGAGAATATGAGCGATCGAATAGGTGCAGTATGCTCTATAGAAGCAGTTATATACATGTATGTATGGTCATTCTAACTCTTAACTATTAATGGTCTGTTTCCAATTGTATCACTGGCTTAATACATAAATTAACATTCAGGAATATATCATCTGCAGAGAGCCAGAAAATTGATCTTATTTTCCTTTTTCAATTTCATGTAATTTGGTTCATACATTGTGAATATTCATAATTTGAATGTTGAAATCAAAAGACCCAATATTGGAAATGTTGTGCCTCTTCCGAGGAGAGAAGTCAGTGCTAATATAGTGTTCTGATATTTTTTCCCTAATAAGTATATTAATTGAATTTATGTAAAACCAAGATACTAATGAATTAATGACATTAATCAATCAATGTACAAATACACATTGTAACTCTCTGAAAACGAATAATATGAGTAACAAATATTCATCATAGTCATCAACACTACTAGCCTCTAACCAACAAATCCCTTCGTACCGTCAATCTGTCAGCATAGTATGGTCAAGTCAACAAGAAACCATCAGATACCATGACATGTTCTACTCTCTGTCCCCAGAAAGAAGATGAGAAGATGAGAAATAAAAAAGGCAAAGCACCTCACTAATTGCAATATGATCCGCCTTGAAGTGACACAATGAAGATCATGTGTGAGATGAGAAGTCTTTACTTGGTTTAGACAAAGACCCACCGTCTCATCATTACACCAATCTATTTTGGAGTTTGGCATAATTAGAAGTATGGAATATGAGCTGATAAAGGTTGATAGCATGGAACAGGGCATTACACACTTGGCTGGGTGGAGTTGAATTACATGGTTGGAAGAAACAAAGGCAGTCTGACACTTCTTTGTGTAAAGTGATACTTGACATGAATTCAACAATAGCTGCTGCCAGGGAAATGTACAAGGCCATGACATTGCTTTAAAATGTCTTGAATGAAACTAACATACATGTGTATATGATGAAAGAGTTACTTCCTCAAAAGTTAAGTACATTTTTCAATGGCATGACCTAAGCTTAGAGTGTACTCTTCAGTGACATGATCTCAGCCTTAAAAAACAAGCCACATGGAAATAGAGGATAATTTTGTATAGATCTACTTGAATATTAATCCTGAAATATGAATTTTAGTTCAATATTGCTAGTTCACTGCTCCCGCAATATCAAGTGAACTTGTTTTTTGAGCATGACTGGTTATCTGATTTGGTTATGAATACTTCTGGTTATCTGATTTGGTTATAAATACTTCTGGTTATCTGATTTGGTTATGAATACTTCTGGTTATCTGATTTGGTTATGAATACTTCTGGTTATCTGATTTGGTTATGAATACTTCTGGTTATCTGATTTGGTTATGAATACTTCTGGTTATCTGATTTGGTTATGAATACTTCTGGTTATCTGGTTTGGTTATGAATACTTCTGGTTATCTGATTTAGTTATAAATACTTCTGGTTATCTGATTTGGTTATATACTTCTGGTTATCTGATTTGGTTATGAATACTTCTGGTTATCTGATTTGGTTATGAATACTTCTGGTTATCTGATTTAGTTATGAATACTTCTGGTAATCTGATTTGGTTATGAATACTTCTGGTTATCTGATTTGGTTATGAATACTTCTGGTTATCTGATTTGGTTATGAATACTTCTGGTTATCTGATTTGGTTATGAATACTTCTGGTTATCTGATTTAGTTATGAATACTTCTGGTTATCTGATTTAGTTATGAATACTTCTGGTTATCTGATTTGGTTATGAATACTTCTGGTTATCTGATTTGGTAATGAATACTTCTGGTTATCTGATTTGGTTATGAATACTTCTGGTTGTTGGAGATACACGTTCACATCTACTCGAGATTGTACACCGAACACCAGGGTGTTACTGAAGGTGTACAGAATGGTGCCCTGCTACCATATTTTACAAATGGAAAGTACCCTTGACAGCAGTGATGAGGTACATGTAATCAAGGTCATAAATTATTTTAAAAATCAATCATCATGGGACTCGGTAAATGTAAACAAAAAATTGTTTATGTGACAGACAGATTGTGGTTGCTACAATTTCAGATTCATAAACACGGTACCAGGAAAAACAAGGGAAACGCTCTCGGCGGTCTCGCCTGCATAACGCAATTCAATATGATAAACCAGAACGTCAATGACGTAGCGCTCATCCGCATCTCACAACAACAAATATCGTAAATTCTATGTGGTACACTTTTGAACTGGTCAAAAAATAGAAATTTGATGCCCTGGAAGGGACATAATTTCATTTCATTTGCATAAAGTACCATAAATAATCAATGGAGCAAAATCTCACAATTCTGTGTAGAAGTTTATTGTTCCAAATTTAGCTCTACCAGATAAGGCAAAATCGGTCAAGAAATGAGGGAAAAGAAGCAATTTTTGTTATTTTTGGAATAAATTTGCATAAATTACCATAATTAATTAATGGAGAACAATTTCAAAATTCTGTGTAGAAGTTTAGTGTACCAAAGTTAGCTCTACGATATAAAGCAAACCAAATCAAAATCGGTCGAGAAATGAAGAAGAAGCCTTTTTTGTGATTTCGAATAAATTTGCATAAATTAGCATAGATAATGAATTTCACGATTCTGTGTAGAAATTTTAAATCCCCTCCTAGCCCTATCATATGAAACAATCAGAATCAAAATCGGTTGAAAAATAACGAAGAAGAAGCATTTTGAAAATCTTTATGTTGATGCCACAACATAGTCCAAGTCTGTTGACCTGAAATGACCTTTGACCTTGACTTTGTGATCTGAAATTCTACTCACATGATTGGGGATACTTGATTACCCTATAGTCAAAGTTTCATTGACTAAGAACTTATACTTTAAAAATTATACCAAAAATTCAAAAACTTAACCTTAGGTTAAGTTTTTGATGTTGACGCCGTCGCCGTCGCCGTCGCCGTCGCCGTCGCCGTCGCCGTCGCCGTCGCCGTCGCCGCCGCCGTCACCGGAAAAGCGGCGCCTATGTCTCGCTTTTTGCTACGCAGGCGAGACAAAAATAAAAGAATATGCTAACTACATGAAAGCTGAATATCTAAATTCAAATAAGTTTATAAATTCTATTCATACACCACTCAAAATTAGAGGAATATATTTACTGGAACTTACCCCCCCCCCCCCCCAAAAAAAAAAAAAAAAAAAAAAAAAAAAATGGAGAAAGTAGTTTTCCTTATCAACAGTCAGTTTGGAATTCAGTGATCCATCTTGCATCATTCATTCAGTCATCCTGTTATTCCCACAGGCATGCTTCTGAATACAAACTTGGAGATGGCCGGGCCTGCGGAAATCACCGCACGATCCGCTTTCCTTCTTTGGACTATGGTACATGACTTGACTGATGATTACCACATTCGGCCATCAGCTTCAAAGAGTATACATACCTAATGCCTGTATTGTGATTCATGGAACATTGCAGTGGTGCGGCAATTCATCTGTGCATACACGTTCCAATACATGTGCAGTGGAGGTAATCTATTTATCTTCTCTGTAACTAATCCCTATTCAATAACATTTCATATTTCTACTCTATGACAAAAGTGCACCATAGTGCCATCATATATTTCCTTTCGATAATATACTTCATGTAACTCTGTGTATGATAGTATAATGATCCCCCCCAAAAAAAAA